AGGGGGCAGCGATGGGTCTTTCGCCTCCACTCCCCAGTGGCACAAGCACTAGTGCTGCAAAAGCCCGGATCTAAAGCTAAAACTGAAGTAAACTAAAACCTAAAATAAATATAAACTAATTCTAAGTAGCAGTGTTACAACTCTATTCCTAATTTTTTTTTACAACTCGATTCTTCTCCCAATCTCCCGTCGCCTCCGCCCTCACCTCCCATTCTCCCAGGAGTTCATCCCGGACCCACTTATGCCTCTAAGAAAATGGCGAACATTCGCCTGCCACAGTTCTGAGGATCGCTCTTTTCATGGATTACGAAGTAGAAAATCTCGTAAAGCATTAATATGCGAAATACATCTTATTCAATGTAAACAAAGAGACTCATCCAGGGATATGTTTTTCGGAATGCTCCCCTCTATGGATCAGGGCAAGGAATGACGCAACTGATAACTGTTAAGTTTGTTGCTAAAGAGATTTGAATTCAGCAGACACCTGCTTGTACCATCGGCACTAACGATCAGGATGATCTGATGAACACCACGGATGGCATGTTTAGCAGCAAGCAGAACTGCTTCATCGATACCACGGCCAAGTTTCGGGGAAATTTCATCATCCCTGCAAGTGATGCACATCATGAACCGAATAAACAATCAGCTGTAAAAATAATGCAAAGCTAAAACTGAACAAAATTTTCAGATATTATGCGTTTTTGCCTATATGCAAATCGCAATAATTGGCCAACGTACGGGCTGCCCGTGCGAAGATGCGTTTTTTGCATTGCTCCCTGCAGATTTTTGTCACTAATGGCACTGTTTTTTTTTCCGGCAGATGCTTCTAGCTGAAAGAATTTCAAACTGGCCGCCAGGACTGCCATGAAAAATTCCTTCAAAATCCTAGTCTTCTAACTTCTCAAGTCCCCGAGTTATCAACTTACCTGAAAAAAACTTTCACGAGACCGTAGGTGGGTGTCATGCACACCCGGGGGGTTGGGTATGAGCTCAATGAGACCTAGCTGGGCGGGGAATATCCTATAAAAATTACAGTCTTCTAGCTTTTCAAATTCTCGAGTTAACAACTTGCCCGAAAAAAATTTTGATGGGCCCGTACGTGAGTACCACGCATAACCGGAGCCTAGGTTTGAGCTCATTAATACCTACTTGGACGGAGAACATCCCCTTAAAATTTCAGCCTTTCAGCATTTCTGGTTCCCGAGTTAGCAGTTTACCCGTAAAAAACTTTGGCGGGCTCAAACATGGGTGCCACGCGAATAAGGGCGCCCATTTTTGGGAATTGGGGCCCGTGCATGTAGATTAAGTTCCCAAAGTTCTAGCCCTGTAGCTTTTGTAGGTCTTGAGATGGAAAACCATGACATACGCACACACAGACGCACAGGCACACAGACACACAGACAACCCCTCGTCAATATGCGTTTCTGCACTGCACAGCTGCAGAAAACGCATAAAAACGCATATTGCGACGACCCTGTCTGTGTGTATGTGTGTTCGTCTGTCCGGGTATTTCAACTCGGCAACCAAGCAAGT